ACAGAAACATTTTTTAGATATTTTTAACAGTAAACACTTCAAAAAAGACTTTTTAAAAAAAAAAACTATAAATGCTTAAAATAACACTTTGTTTTAAAGTTGTATATTTTTGGTCCCTAGCAGCGCCTATAGCAACTAAGTCAGACCTCTAGAAAAAAAAGATGACTAGACTTTTTCTTGGCAATAACACTTGGATGTTTAACTGAACACGCAATCCTAGATCTAGTTAACAACATAAGTGATTCTTTTGATAAAAAAGAGTATGTTCTAGGCATCTTTATAGACCTGTCAAAAGCGTTTGATACTGTAAATCATAATATCTTACTTAAAAAAAAAGAAAACTATGGGATAAAAAACATACACCTTGACTGGTTCAAAAACTATAGTAACAAAACTAAGTAACAGACAACAATGTGTCTTTTCAGATAATTATAAACACTAAAAACTACTAAGAATTGAGTGCGGTGTCCCCCAAGGTTCCATTCTTGGACCTCTTTTGTTTCTTCTATATATTAATGACCTTACAAATGCTTCGGAAAAACTTAATGTAATCATGTTTGCCGATGACACAAACTTATTTTATTCATCGACTCAATCAAAGACCTTAAAAGATTAAATTTATGGTTTAAATTAAATAAATTATCACTAAATACAAAAAAAAACATAATACATATTATTTCATTCCAAAAAACAAAAAAATAATTTACCAATTACCCTTACCTCACTAAAAATAGATAAGCTAAACAATGAAAGAACAGAAACAACTAAATTTCTTGGGATACTAATTGATGAAAATATATCTATAGAGCCCATATAAGTTCAATATAGAGCCCATATAAGTTCAATAAACACCAAAATTTCAAAAAATATCGGGATACTCTACAAAGTTAAACCTATGTTATCCCAACATAATCTTAAATCGCATTATTTTTTTTACATACAAAGTTATCTTACATATGCGAATATTACATAGGCAAGTACACACAAATCCAAATTGAGTACTGTTTGCATAAGTCAAAAACATATATCAAGATTAGTTTATAATAAAGATAAACTTACCCACGCTGAACCCCTACTAAAAACATTGAATGCACTAAATGTTTATGAAATCAACATCTACTAAAATGTTCTTTTTATGCTTAAATACAAACTTGGACTAATCCCATCGCATTTTTTAGATAACTTCTTTCAAGTAAACTCTAATAGGTATATGACAAGAGCAACAGGCAACTTCACACTGCCCAAAAGAACAACAAAGTTCTCACGGTTTTCTATTTTCTCACGGGGTCCGTACTATGTAACAAAATCATATCCAAAAATATAGAACTTAAAGTAATAAATAATGCTGCTAACTTGAAAAATAAATTAATTCACCTCATATTTAATACCAACAATTATATCAACATGTATTAAACTTAACATTAAAATTTATACTAAAATATTTATGTGTATAACTGACTGTATATTGTTTAACCACTTTTGACTATATATAAAATTAAAATAGACTTTATTTAACCATTTAAAGAGATACTCGATGATAAGTCTTCATAGACTTCTACGAGTTTTCCTTTACAACAACATGTATATATCTGAAGTACCAAAAAATTTCTTGGCTTTTTTTACTTTTCTTACTTTTATTCTTTTATTTTTTTTTTAAATACTGGTAATTTTTATGATAAGAAACACTATTAATTTACTCTATACTTAGTTATACTTGCTAAACGAATTTTTATTATGCTATGTTATACGTGGTATTATTATCTTATATTTTTACGTCGGATTACATTATGTCATGTAGTTATAACGTAACGATGTGTAAATTTATTAATGTTGTAAAAAAAATAATAATAAAAAATAAATAAAAAATGTTTATGTATACTGTTATCCACTTTGTTTTTACTTAAAATCCATAACTTTAAACCACAAATTGAGCGACATGTTTTTAAGGCATATTAATGATTTGTGATTTTTTTATGTAAATTTTTCTTAGCACTGTGTTTATATTATAACTTTAATATGGGATCATCTAATAGAAGAAAGATGCCAGATTAAAAAAAAGCAGGTTCAACATAAAAGCAATATAAACTCTTATTAAAAGACAACATTTTTTAGGTAAAGATGAAGCAACAACATATACTTCTCAAAACAAATCAACTTCTGCAAAAAAAAAAAAAAAAAAAATTAGACTCTCCAAAAATCTATGTACAATTATAAATGACTCTGAATGATATATTTTTATGATTTCTAATATACTAAAAGAATTTATCAATTTTATTGGGACTTATCCATGTTGTCCGTTCAAAAAACTATAAATTAAGCATGACATTTCTGCAAAGAAAGGTTTTGCTCATATGATTTTTATTTGTTGCTTCAGATGTGAATTGTTAAAAGTGTATTTACTTGGCTAACTGATGATGCATATAGCGAAAGTTGTCGGTTTGACTCACTAGAATATGACGCAATTCACTTACAAAGAAAGCCTAAAAAAAGAGGTGGTGGTGTTGTTATTTACGTCAAAAATAGCTTGCGGTTAAAAATCTGAATGCAACGGCGAATTTGTTTCAATTGAAATTGTTAATGATAAGACCAAAAATATTTTAGTAACTTGTTGTTACAAACCGCCAAAATGCGTCCACAGAAAATTTCTCAAATCATCTCCAGAATATTATTCAAAACGTTTCTCTTGAAAAAAAAAACTGTTTGTCTTAGGTGACTTTAATATTAACGCCCTTAATTAGGAAAATGATATAGAAAGTCAAAACTTTTATAATGATTTATATCAATATGATGTGATCCCTTCAATAAACAGACAAACACGAATAACAGGAAATTCAGCAACATTAATAGACAATATAATAACTAATTTTTAATTTGAAAACTCGTTCAAAAAAGGAATATTTCAGATCACATGCCAATTTTCACATCCGCAAGTACGTTGAATAAACAAAAACAGAAGTCACATATACAAAACGCCTCCTATCATTAAACAATCAATTAGCGTTTCAAAATGAACTAGGAAGTATAGACTGGTCTCCATTAGAATCATTCAATAATTCCATGTTTAATAACTGCCATCACAATTTTTTAAACTTGTATGAAAAACACTTCCAAGAGAAAGAAGTAACAATTGAAATTAAAAACTTAAATTCGCCATGGTTTAGTAAAGGTTTAAAAAAAGCTTCGAAGCAAAAGCATCGACTGTACGATAGATATCTAAAAAATAAGTGCATAAAGACCAAGGCAGAATGTAAAAACTTCAGGACTTTATTTAAGAAAATCAAACGAACTGCAAAATCAAACTATAATAAAAAGCAGCTTGAAAAGTGTCAATTAAATTCTATGAAAACTTGGCAAGTACTAAATGAAATGATTGGAAAACCAAGAAAATTTATTAGAAAATTGATCTATAGTTTCCAATATCCGTTTTATCGCCTGATTTATATATAGGTTTAACTTTTGCTGATTTACGTATATCAGGAAAGATACCCTCATTCAGAGAACATTTACAAAATTTAAATAAAGGCACTTTTAACTGATTATAACAGTCAATAACAATGTTGCTGTTTATACCATCAATTCCAGAAGATTTATTACGTTTCAAACTTTTAAAAGCTGTTTCGTATTCTTTAAAAGTTAAATTCTCATTTTTAAATTGATTTTTATTGTAATGAAGGTATTCCTTAAATGATTTATTTACATTTGGAATTTTTGCCGCAAGTTTATAACCTATATTCACAAAAAAAAAATTTAAATTCATTTGCTATATTGTTTTCATTGGCAATAGTTTTAATTTTAATAAGTATACT